TATTGAGAGATAGATTGATTAGATAGATCTTAATATCATTTATATAGTGCTATTGAATTCTGCAGTGCAGGATACAATGTATTAAGGCAGCTTGACAGAAACAGAACAATACAGCATATTTTAAAAGCCTTGACTGCACGCTTACAATATACAGTATATATAGAATAAAAAAAAACAAAGTACTTGGAATCTGAGTGAATGCTGTGCCAGGTTTTTCAGATCACACATTCAAAAGTAGAAAGGTCTAGAGTAATTTAGCTTTATGTGCAGAAGTGTTAACATACACAAATTAGATTGACATATGTTTTCCCATATGGGCGTTTGTTCCTGTATTAGCCAGAGAAGTATTGTAAATTCCTGCAACGCATTACTCATCAGAAAGCAAAATAATGTGACTCAGTGTGTTCTTTCAGACTGCTATTTTCAGCACTGGTGGAAGCGTAGCTAGTTCAATAGAGAAAACTGTGATGAGCGTTATCTATTTAAAAAGCATTTGCACACAGTTATGAAAAAGCAATAGCAAGATTTTATTGGGAATTTATGTAACCTCTTCGAATCTGAAAATGACAAAAAAAAATTTTAAATGCCTTCATTGTGTTGAATATTTCTTTAAAAACAAAACAAAAATGATACAATAGGATAGTGCTTCTATAATATAATTTATCGAAAGCTAGCATAGCAGGATAATCTATCTGCAGGTAATCTATTGTTGCAGTACTCTGATACAGAGTTCTCCAAGTTCTGGCCCTCCAGATGTTGCTGAACTACAACTCCCATGATTCTTTAAATGAAATAGATGGCCAGAGAATCGTTCAGCAACATCTTCAGCAACATTGGGCGGGCCAGAGTTTAGCAACATCTGGAGGACCAGAGTTTGAAGAACCCTGTTCTAATACAATGTAAAGCATTCAGATACACACAAACATAAGCACAGAGACCTGTAATAATCTATTAATATATTAATAAATAAGAGCACTGTTCATGAAATTGTAAAATCAATATTATTGCTGCCTTATTCTGTAGAATTTACTTGAATATTAGCTAAAATAAGCTACAATTAATCCTTGATAGTTGGGTATTTTTACATATTCTTAATTTAGTTCTTGGTTAGCACACAGTTATTATGATTAATAAAACATACAATTTCCGGGCTCTAGTGATTTTTCACACACAGTGACATAATTGCATACTTTCGATGTGAGGAGTAGACATGTGCATGCTGAAAAAAAAAATGTGACATTGCCAGATCATTATTTCAATATAAGAACATTTCTTGGGACCAAATTTCATCCGATTGTGCATACCGGAAACTTGGTTCAGGACCTGAATCAAATGACAAAAAAGGGTATGATAAAAGGCCAATCAGGATACTGCAAAATCTATACATAATATAATATTATGAATGTATTTCACAATGCAATGATAGGAACAATTCTTAAGAAAGAAAAAGTAACCAATAAACAAAAAAATAAAAATCTAAATGTTTACATGTATATACTAGATATTTATTAAAAATGTATTCTATCATATTTATCTATACTTATATTACAAGACTAAATTATATTTAAATATAGGATTCAGATTTACATATCCTTTTTTCCCTTCATTGCTCATTTCTTGATGTATGACTCATTTTAGCCTTTAATCATTTTTTGAATCATTAAGAATTATTAGAGTTGAGCGGACACTTGGATGTTCGGGTCCGGCGGGTTCGGACGAACTTTGAAAAAAAGTCTGGGTTCGTGCTCGAACTTGACCCCGAACCCAAACCCCATTGAAGTCAATGGGGACCCGAACTTTTGGTCACAAAAATGCCTCTATAAAACTCCTGGAAAGGGCTAGAGAGCTGCAAAAGGAAGTAAAATGGGGGTAAGAGTAGGACAAGTGCCCTGCAAACAAATGTGGATAGGGAAATCACTTAAAATAACATAAAAATAAAAAAATACAGCTGAGCCATAAAATAGCACTAGTTGGAATCTTTGATTTTAGCTTTGGAAGAACATAAATCAAAATCTAAAGCATGGCTGTCAGGAGGATCACCAGAATTATCCATTTGAGAGAGGGTTGGAGTGCAAGGTATTCTCTTTCATTGTTCAAACTGAGCTCAACTCCTGATGCATGGAGAAAAGGTCTTCACAACCCTCAGCTATTGTGTACATACGTGCTTGGTGGGCGGCAGTGTGATTTCATTATTGGTTTACGTCACATTGCCACTCCCCCCCTCCCCCCTCTCCTATGCGCCCGGTCTTCCCACGTGTGCCTATTCTGATTGGATAATCAGATTATGACGTTTGGTCACGTGATCGGATCCATGACCAATCGGGAGGCAGCCAGTTCGGTAACATACACCCACGTGGATACACAGCTGTTTGATTACAATGTGACAAGTAGTATATAAACGGCTACAGCACAGGTTCACTGCTCCTGACGACGGCATGCTAATATGCCGAAACGCGCATCGAGCATATTTTAATTTATTTATTTATTTTCTTTTTTCTTTTCTTTACCACTTATTTGGTAGCACAAGAATATGAATTTCTATTTAGGTTAATTAATGGAAACTAGTTTATTGGACAGGCAGGGAGTGGTATGTAGGTAGGCACTTGTATACAGTGCTGAGGTACATGGATTGTTTTTGTAGCTAACTTAGATAGACCTGAATAGGCAGGGAGAGATACATATTGTAGGCACTTGTGTGTTTTTGTCACAGTGCCGAGGTATAACTTTTTACCCATTTACCCACTTATTCCTGTCCTTTTCTATAGTGTTCTAGACTTGGGCTTGGATTTTGTGAGATTTCTTTTTTCATCTCTCCCCTTTAGGTCAAGTATATGGGCTCATTCCCCACATTAGCCCTAAGCTTTTCATTGTTATTACCCGCTTTCTCTATTCTCAACACTTTACTTATGCTATTTAGGCTTGCATATATTTTTTTCTGATACAGCCTGGTCTCTCTCTTCTGAGTGGGTTAGCATTTAGGATTTGTATTTGTGTCAAGGAATTATTACCTTCTCTAAGTCATTATTTTGAGAAGGTTAGCATTCAGATTTTGAATGCAAGTTGAGGAACTACTGCCTCTTCCAACACCTCCCTTATTTTCTGTCCATTTTTTATACTGCTCCCCTCATTAGGTTTAATAAAGGTAGGGCTTCCTTTCCTTGTTTAACTATTCTTTCACTTAGGACCTTATGGTCTCACCTTTCTCTTCCTCTATTGTGTACATAGTTTATACTAAGTGACCCATTGGTTGAGGAGGCGGTGACCATGGTGGTGGAGGAGGAGGATGAGTTAGCCAACACTGTTTATATATATATATTTTTTTATTTTAATTGGGGTAGCCCCCAAAATATTGGGACATACAAAAAAAGAAACATTTGGGGCCTGCGTTGCATTTCCTGCAGTCCTGATGCATCGAGAAATGCTCAACTCCTGATGCATGGAAAAAAGGCCTTCACAAGCGTCTGCTATTGTGTACATAGTTTATACTAAGTGACCCATAGCTTGAGGAGGCGGTGACAGTGGCGGTGTAGGTGGAAGCAGCGGTGGAGGAGGAGGATGAGGAACACTGTTTTTATATACAGGGAGTGCAGAATTATTAGGCAAATTAGTATTTTGACCACATCATCCTCTTTATGCATGTTGTCTTACTCCAAGCTGTATAGGCTTGAAAGCCTACTACCAATTAAGCATATTAGGTGATGTGCATCTCTGTAATGAGAAGGGGTGTGGTCTAATGACATCAACACCCTATATCAGGTGTGCATAATTATTAGGCAACTTCCTTTCCTTTGGCAAAATGGGTCAAAAGAAGGACTTGACAGGCTCAGAAAAGTCAAAAATAGTGAGATATCTTGCAGAGGGATGCAGCACTCTTAAAATTGCAAAGCTTCTGAAGCGTGATCATCGAACAATCAAGCGTTTCATTCAAAATAGTCAACAGGGTCGCAAGAAGCGTGTGGAAAAACCAAGGTGCAAAATAACTGCCCATGAACTGAGAAAAGTCAAGCGTGCAGCTGCCACGATGCCACTTGCCACCAGTTTGGCCATATTTCAGAGCTGCAACATCACTGGAGTGCCCAAAAGCACAAGGTGTGCAATACTCAGAGACATGGCCAAGGTAAGAAAGGCTGAAAGACGACCACCACTGAACAAGACACACAAGCTGAAACGTCAAGGCTGGGCCAAGAAATATCTCAAGACTGATTTTTCTAAGGCCCGTGGCTGGATTGGTAAAGGGCAGAGAGCTCCAGTCCGACTCAGACGCCAGCAAGGTGGAGGTGGAGTACTGGTTTGGGCTGGTATCATCAAAGATGAGCTTGTGGGGCCTTTTCGGGTTGAGGATGGAGTCAAGCTCAACTCCCAGTCCTACTGCCAGTTCCTGGAAGACACCTTCTTCAAGCAGTGGTACAGGAAGAAGTCTGCATCCTTCAAGAAAAACATGATTTTCATGCAGGACAATGCTCCATCACACGCGTCCAAGTACTCCACAGCGTGGCTGGCAAGAAAGGGTATAAAAGAAGAAAATCTAATGACATGGCCTCCTTGTTCACCTGATCTGAACCCCATTGAGAACCTGTGGTCCATCATCAAATGTGAGATTTACAAGGAGGGAAAACAGTACACCTCTCTGAACAGTGTCTGGGAGGCTGTGGTTGCTGCTGCACGCAATGTTGATGGTGAACAGATCAAAACACTGACAGAATCCATGGATGGCAGGCTTTTGAGTGTCCTTGCAAAGAAAGGTGGCTATATTGGTCACTGATTTGTTTTTGTTTTGTTTTTGAATGTCAGAAATATATATTTGTGAATGTTGAGATGTTATATTGGTTTCACTGGTAATAATAAATAATTGAAATGGGTATATATTTGTTTTTTGTTAAGTTGCCTAATAATTATGCACAGTAATAGTCACCTGCACACACAGATATCCCCCTAACATAGCTATAACTAAAAACAAACTAAAAACTACTTCCAAAAATATTCAGCTTTGATATTAATGAGTTTTTTGGGTTCATTGAGAACATGGTTGTTGTTCAATAATAAAATTAATCCTCAAAAATACAACTTGCCTAATAATTCTGCACTCCCTGTATATATATATATATATATATTTTTTTTTTTTAATTGGGGTAGCCCCCAAAATATTGGGACATATAAAAAAAGACAACTCTGTTCCGCAGAGTAGCTGTTGACATTACAGTTGAGCAGGCACTTTGTTGACTCTAGAGAACCTCGGGCCAATCGCACATCACCGTGACGGTAACTTTGCATTCGGACGTCATCCACCTCAACTATCGATACCAGTTTCTGTGTCTACCATGGTGACCACGGGTAACGGGGAATCAGGGTTCCATTCCATACAGGGACCCTGAGAAATGGCTAACACATGCAAGGAAGGCAGCAGGCACGCAAATGACCCACTCCCGACGCGGGAAGGTAGTGACGACAAATAACAATACAGATCTCTTTAGAGGCCCTGTAATTGTAATGAGTCCACTTGAAATCATTTAACTCTGATCAATTGGAGCCACTGACCCGTGTGTGCTGCAGCTGAAATTTCACTATCGCCTGCTGCTGCTCGCACAGTCTCATGAGGCGGTGAACGGGAAGGCCGAAGTTACGCTGCAGCGCAGACAGGCGAGCAGCAGCAGGGTGAGAACGCCAAAAGCGCGCACAGCTGCTACAGTGAATGTTGCATCCTGTTCCAACTTGCGGATCAGTCTGGTGATGGCTTCTGGTATCCAGTACACTTTTTAATGAAGCTGCATCAGGGTCCTGGTATGTGGCCACACAAACGCTGGTGCTCAACACCAGGGGGCGTGCTGTTACCCTGCACCAGACTCTGCTAATCCATTCCACACTGTGATTCCTAACTTCAACATCAGGCATACTGGGTCCCGGTCGTCAGACCACCACCCAGACAGTGTCTGGGTCCTGGTCACCAGATTGCCTACCTGTCTGTGAAACTACGAATGGTTCGTTAAATCTGGTACAAACCCGAACTTTGCAGTTCGGTTTCTCTGAACTCTATAATGGATCCTTTGATCGCTACATGTATTACTTGGATTACTGGTAATTCTCGAGCTAATACATGCCGATGAGCACTAGAGGACGGCCACTGAGCTTTTGCACCCTGCTCCCTCTTATGCTGTTCTGGTGCCTCTGTGCGACCAGCGCTTCTTCCTCCAAACTGGACACGTCACTAGCATGACCTTGATTCTATGTGGGGTCTAGAACCTCATCATCCTCCACATCATCTTCCACCCACTCCTCAACCCTGCCCTCCTTGCCGATATGCACACTGCAGAAAGACACAGCAGTTGGCACCTGTGTTTTTCCAACATGTAAAGTCTGCAAAGGACATATGGAAATTGTTTTAGAATTGAATCCAGGCAACAGTTTTCCTTATAAACTGACCTCTCAGTTTGACGTGTGAGGGTATTGCCCCTGAAATACAATATTGTTTAAGCACCTCTTAGCTATTGATAACTGGTTTAATTATAGCAGCTTGTTATCTGGTAGTTTCTAGTGTAGAAAATATCAATCTGTTTTCTATACTTAGATCTGTGTAACAAGTGTTGTAGGTGTGAAACAATATTACAAGTAATCGATGTAGTAAATTCAAATCAAAGTTATGCTTCGATTTGACACTCAAATATGAAGTGAACACCCCAAATATACTATTTAGCACCAAAAAAAATGACTTTTTAAAACTCCAATGTAAGCAGCAGATTAGCAGCAAAACAATTAGAAGGTTTACAACTGCGCAGTAAGCGCACTATTTGACGCTTCTATTTGACTCGCAGATATGAAGTGCACTGCAGGCCGCAAACGTACTATTCAGCAGATTAGCAGCAAAACAATTTGAATTTTTACCACTGCGATGTAAGCGCACTATTAGACGCTTCTATTTGACTCTCAGATATGAAGAGCAGGCCCCAAAATGTACTATTCAGCAGATTCGCACCCAGAAAATAATAATGTTTACCACTGCGCTGTAAGCACACTATTAGACGCTTCTATTTGACTCTCAGATATGAAGAGCAGGCCCCAAAATGTACTATTTAGCAGATTAGCAGCAAAACAATTAGAATGTTTACCACTGCGCTGTAAGCACACTATTAGACGTTTCTATTTGACTCTCAGATATGAAGTGCACCCCACTAAAATACTATTTAGCAGTTTAGCACCCAAAACATTTTAAGTTTTAAAAATGTGGCAGCAGTATTTGATGATTCTTTTTGACTCTCAGATGTACTAATGTACTATCCCACTAATGTACTATTTAGCACCCAAAAAAATTGACTTTTTAAAACTCCGATGTAACCGCAGTATTTGAAGCTTCTATTTGACTCTCAGATATGAAGTGCACCCCACTAATGTACTAGTTTGCAGAATTCTTTCCTAAGCTTTCTCTCACAGCGGCAGCATCCTTTCCCTACACTAATAAGACCTCATGTGCGTGTGGTGCTATGCGACTCCAGCTTACATACAGAGGCTGGGTCACATGCTGCACTGGGCAATCACAGCTATGCCATTAGTAGGCATGGCTGTGATGGCTTTTAAGCGCACACGAGTCAAACGCTTGTTGATTGGCTGCCCTTCAGCCTTTGAAAATGCGCCATTAAATAGAAGAACACCGAACTCCAACCCGAACATACAGTGATATGTCCGTGTTCAGGTCCGGGGTCCAAAAAACATAATGTTCGATACGAACCCGAACTTTACAGTTTGCGTTCGCTCAACTCTAAGAATTATGAATTGAAACAGACATGCTCGCCTATTGCATGTTTTGGCTGGTCTGTGATTCAAGCACATCTTGGCTTGGGGTTTGGGATTTGACTGATCGGCCAAAATTTGGATGAGTTACAGTTTAAACCAAAATTAATCTCCAAGTTCAGTGAGAACCCAAATCAACTATAAAGCAAACAATATAATAACAATGTTATCTTATAGTACTCAAGAAATGTGATGGAATACTGTAAGTGCATCACCAACATTGTTAAAACATGACTTATTTTTCATGAACAATTCTGAAAAGTACATGACAGACAGAGGTTTTGCTCTCTCAAACCTCTCAAAGGCAAGTATACAATTTTATCACAAAAGTCTCATAAATATTAGTCTGTAATCTTTATATATGGTATTGAATGTTTTATAATGTAGTCTCTTTACATTTTGATATGCTTTAACATTGTCCCATGACAAAACTGTAATTTTATGTGTGTAGGCATGTGAGTTTGTAGTTTTAAATAAGTAAGGATGTTACAAATTACTGAACATTTTAGCTGTGTGTGAAAATATGGTTTCTATTGAATCAACTATGGAAAGGTAAGAAAAATAGAAAAGCTGTTCTTCAAACTAGGACGGTGTGCACAAGAAATTCTTAGAGCAGGGGTGCCCAAAAGGAAGATCCTCAGATGCTTTAAAACTACAGCTTACATAATGCTTTTTCATTCTAAAAGCATTTTAAAACCATGCAAAGCATAAGAGTTGTAGTTTTACAACATCTGGGCATCTACCTTTAGGGCACCCCTGTCTTAGAGTAACACTGTTTAGGATCAGTGTAGTTAGCCGTGCCTCCAAACATATAAAGTAGGAAGATAACAAACAAAAGGAAAGTTATCTTAAAACATGTGGGCTCTGGATTAAAGCTCAGGTGTGTTAGAAGAATTCAATATTTGGTTTGAAAGGAGCCTGCATATTTTTAATTTAGCCATACAGTTGGGGAGAGAAACTTCCCATTGTAACCACAAATATCAACTTACGTAAGTAGTTTATAATGATCTCTCTCGCTATCTGCTGATTATGGATGTCCTGGGCTAGTTTAGCCTCCAGAAATTGCTGAAGGACAAACAAGAGCAGCAGCCTTAAGGGACACACCTGACATGCCCCATTTGTAATATGAAACAGTAATGAAAAGTCACTATTAATAAACATCCAGGCTGAGCTGGGAACCATGGTACATAGTAAATCACTTGTACACAGGCTAGAATTTACGACCTAAACATTATATAGTTGCAAACAGAAAATCACAACTCATCCAATCAAAGACCTTTTCTGTCACTGGACAAAAGAAGGACGACACAACACAAGTGGTTGGCTTTGTTAAAAATTATTTGAAGTTGGTAGTGTTACTCTTAACCTGTTGATAGCAAATAAATAAATCTACCTTAGTCAGCATGAATGAAGTGTCAGTTAGGAGGCCCCAGAAGATGCACTAGTACATTAGCAACTGATTCACGTTATTGATACGAAATGTGACATGTGGTCATGTATTTGCTCAGGAGAATGAATGCACTGCTTTACAAAATAGAATCACTACATTTAATTTCTTTTCCAAAAACAATATTGTGTGACCTGTGATGTTTGTGTTCACCAAAATGTTTACTGTCTGTCTATGTGCTTTTGGATAAATATTTGAAATATTAGTAAATCTTTGTCTCTGTGGCTTAAAAGAGATGCTTCACCTGGAACAAATACATTGGGATCACAATTACTGAAGATGAATGCATATATTAGCTAATACATCATGTAGAGAGATAATATATTTGCAACTATAACACAGTAATGTCTTGGCTTCAATGCATTTTTTCATTCCAAGAAAAAATCTCAACAGTAGTGCAATGTTTTATTGAACTATAGGGTTTTAAAGTAACAACGGCCACACTAAGGATCATAATTAACTGCATCAAGAAAGTCTGGAGGAAAAACTATGAGACCTATATTAAAATAGTTTCTTGGTGTCTCCAGAACCTTGAGATTGTACCAGTATCATCAATACATGCACAGTTCTGAATATTTCATATTACAAGATTTTTTATACATTTTTATATTTTTTGCTTGAAATGGTAAAAAAATTATCCTGTTGCAGTTTCAGCTGCTCTGGTATGCACAATATATATGGGTGGATGAGCAGATATATGTATGTATATACTTAACAAAAACACACACACACACATACATATATATATATATATATATATATATATATATATATATATATACGCATACATATATATTCCATTTTATCATATCCACATTTATCCTTTCTGTGATACTGCTATCCTGAAATGCATTTTTAAAACTCGAGCTTTATGATACTGAAAAAAACAAGCCATAATAGAAACGATGAACTGTATGGAATAATTGTGTTGTTCCATAAATAATTCTGTTATTTATTGTTCTATAAGTTCTTGTCATTGCTTTAACAGTTCTATGAAAAGGGAAAAAAAATGTGACCCTGAGAATGATATAGGATAGGATCATTGCTCCTACACGAAGATGCTCAGCTAGAGCCAATAATGACCCCACTACATCCACGGCATGGTTTCAATTACAGCTTTATATGAGTAGACAGCATGGGGCCTGAAAGGAACAATTGCAACAATTCAAATGGTTCTCTACTTCATGGTTCAGATACCCAAGAATTTGCTTTGTGTTTCCTATTAATGTTTATTTTATTTGTTCTCCGTACACTGTTTGAAGATAGACATTTTAGCATTTGAATATAAAAAAAAAATTACTTTAAA